TCTTTGCTCTGGGTATGATTGATTTATTCGTGCTTAGAAGGAATTTTCTGGCATTGTCCCCACTTCACTCATTTTTGCTAGGAGGTTCTGCTATGGCTTGACTCCTTCCAGGTCTAACTTCTCCTCCTCCAGAGAGAAAGGAGCAATTTAATAGAATCCAGCTTCCAACTTGAGGAGTCTTGAATGACATTTGTTGTCATCGGTGTTTTCCACCTTTGATGAATATCGAGCCTCTGAGTTCCACAAAGTTGTAACTCAGAGGCTCTCACGTCCAAATGGCTGTGTCTCATTGCCCTGCTGAAACTTTGGTTTCCATAATGAGGGGAGAGTCCTAAACACAACCATGGTTCACACAGTTAATATGTAAGCGCTGTTCCCACCATCTGTCATCAAGATAGAGCCATGCCATCTTTTCACACAAGAACCCATGTTTTCATGAAATACAAGTTTGACTTGATTATATATCGTGACTAATTATGCACCACATCCCTCAACTTCTTGGGACATTACTTTATATTATTACAATTAACACACCCATCCTATTTCTTTCTTGCCTTTTCCATCTTTGAGCATCTATTTTTTGAACGCATATCCCACTTTGAGTCCTTTGCCTAAGCTCTAAGACACAGAGTTAGACAGACTAGAGTTGTTTCCACTGGTTTTGATCTGGCTGTGTTTCAGCTTCACCCCAGAATGCATTCTTTTTTTCCCCCAGCATGACTCATACATAAATCTGAATTATCCTTAAATGCTATCCTATACTATTCATAGAAAACCATAGTCAAGGGGGAAATGAAAAGAAAATGTTAATAGTTCCCAAGGCATATTTGGAAATTTCCAGACATCTTTAATCCACCACTAAACAAACTAGGGAATACTCTTTTCTAAATAGAACCATTTACTGAAAGAGTTAAGCGGCAAGCAGAGTAGGCCATGAAGAGACAATTTCTGGAAGTATAGTTAAAACACTTACTGGACTTTTCTAGTAAGAGTTAGAGAGTGGGACAAGTTTACTGGGACCCAACTGCTTTACAGAAATACTTTAGTTTTAATACTTGGATGATTTGTTATGGCCCTAATAATGTTAATGGAATTGATCAAAACCTTTCCAAATATCTCTTGCTTTTACTTTAAAAATCAATATCCTGCTTTCCATCAAATTACAATGAGAAATGAAGCCAAGATACAGACTTTGCAGAATCTGCCAGAATGCCTATTTCAAATGATCTCATGGAGGTTAAATTACGCTAATATGCTTTGTGGCCCCCAGTGATTAATTCACTGGCATTCAGACAGTGTTCTATGAGCTAAATCTAGCAAGAACAGGGGACACCAACAGTATGGTTCCTTTTCTGGTTAGATTTGATACCAAATCATATACTCCAGACCCAGTTTCAATAGTCACACAAAATCTCTTTCTCTGCCGTGTTGACCTTGGATCTTGTTTACAGAAGCGAGTCCACATCTCTTTCAGAAATCTAGCCTCACACATAAGACACCATTTGATTGATTTCTGCCTGATTCATATCTACCTGCCTTCATGTTTAAGGGATTGTTCTGTGAAATTCCTTCATTTATTTGAGTCACAAATATTTGTTGAATAATTAAACTATACTTGCTAGGTCCTGGATTGGAGTAATATCCAGGATGAAATTATTCTGCCTTCACTTAGCTTCCAGTCTATCTAGATGATGGAAATTTAACATGAAATTGCACAAAATAAGGTGAATTTTAGAGAAATATAATTCTTATGTGTTCAAGTGGTTAGGGCTTGAGTTCTGACCAAACAATAGCTTACTAATTGCCAAGTTCCCCTTCCCTTGGGTTTTGCCATAGTGTGCTCTCCCTATCAGAGTCTGTGCTTTAACACTGACTACATAAATCCTGATTCACTGTCCTGCCAGCTCTGCTCAGTTCCACAGCTGACCTCTGTTGTAAGACAACAAAGTTCAGCAGGACTCTGAGTGAGTGTCTCAAAGAAGTGATCTTGTTCTCATTGTCCGCCCCCCCCCCCCCCAGCTCATACTGAGTCCTGAGATCCTGAGCAGATAGTGACATGAGGCTGGAAACAGTCTACTATCTTCCCACGGACATTACCCTGGAACTAACCTTCTCTACAGCTAAAGCAAGCCAATGCCTTCTTAAGGGACACTGCAGTGATTATTTAAGGAGCTGGCAAGCTCTTACAGAGCCCAATCTCCTTTAAGACTGTTGTCCTCTTTACATCCTCAATGAAGGATATGTAATATTCTCATATGAAAAATAAAGATAAAAATGCAAGGATCAGAAAGACATAATGTGTGGGAAGAATTCTTACTACAAAAGCAGCATATACACATAAAAGACCTGTAGTGGTATTTGCTCCATATGACCTTGCTCCACATGACCTTGGGCCTGAAGGAGGTGGTGCTTTTTGCCATTGTACTGACCTCTTAAACTAAAGGGGAGAGGGGTCATGAGGCCCCTTCTCCCTGTTTTCTTTTTGGTGTGACTGAACTGCGAGGTGGATTCACTCCTGGTCAGATCAGAGGATGACTTCAGCTGTCTACTCAGTTCTTGTATTTGTGAGTGTATTTCTTCAATTTATCCTAATAAATTTCCCTAATACTCCTTAAGCAGACTCCCGTGGATTTCTTGCATTAAACACCCTTATATATGCTTTCCAAGGGATATTCCAGGAGTATAAAGAAGTGTTATGCCTACCACAAAAGACTTGCTTATGCCCATGCAAGTCAGATTTGCTCTCGACACTGGGAGCCGGTTTTGTTTTCTAGTAAATGAAGGGCTTGGGGTGGGTGGCTTTCTAGTGGTATTCTGTGACTGTCATTTCTTATTATTAACTCTTTCCATACGATCAGTTCATACCCAGGTCCACTCACAACTAACATTAATCACACAAAAGCAGGAACAAGGAAACATATTGCGCACTTGCAGACATGCCGTGATTTAACACCTGGTTGTGGTGGCTGAGGGATGGATCTAATTTCGAAGAGAAGTAGCATATGTGGGAAACTCTCAGTGTCAGCATGCATTAAATATTAAATAAACAACAGTAGAATGAAGACTAGAATGCAAGTGCATCATTTACTCTCATAAAAAATGTGTATGATACATATAAAAGTTACCACTCTGTAGATGAAAAATAGAAAACCTTGATAACTTTCATAATTTAATCACAGCAAAGGACTGAGTGGCTAGAATCCACACGAAAGCTAATGTAATGCAGAATTTCACTCTTCCTGCAAGTCCAGTTGTCAAAAAGTGCTGTGGGATAATACTTTTTGTACACTGGTTTAATAAAACTCCGATTGGCCAGTAGCTAGGCAGAAAGTATAGGCAGGGAGAGCAGACTAAAGGAATGTGGGGAAGAGGAAGGGCAGGGTAAGGAGTCCCCAGCCAGGCACAGAAGAAGAAAGATGACAAGGCAGAACTGAGAAAAGGTACCAAGCCACATGGCTAAACGTAGATAAAAATTACAGGTTAATTTAAGTATAAGAGCTAGTCAGTAATAAGTCTGAGCTAATGGCCGAGCAGTTATAATTAATATAAGCTTCTGAGTGATTATTTTATAAGCGGGCCCCAGGACTTTCAGGGGCCTGGTAGGACAAAGAAACTCTATATTCTCCTTACCAAATGATCTCTCCTTCATTCTGGGAAGCTGTTGAGAGTCCAAAGGTTATGTTGATAACTAACACTGACTATGGACAACAGATGTAAAGAGGAAAGGATCTGGGCAAATGGGAAAGTGTGTACTGTAACTATCAGATTTTTTCCCTCAACTTTGGAAAGAAGGAAAAAGAAAGGTATAGGGATTTCTAGCAGGATTGTGTCAACAAACTTGGGGTCACAGAATCTGTGAACTTGCTTGGTCACCATTGTATTGTAGCCTATCTCTACTCTATGTAGATTACCCAGATCATAACTGTGGCCTGTAGTTGAATCTTCATTTCTTAATCATGTGATAGTTATCAAGTTACATAGCTTGTCGTTGCATGAGTTTCCTCATTGAAACAATGGTGAAATCACTAACACTTACATAACAAGGTATTATTTCAAGATATATTGTCTATTCTTAGTATCAGCTAATTAAAATTATATATATTTTTCTAATATACAGAAACTTGGCTACAGAGTTCAGAAAGTTAAGTTGACAAAGAGTAACATTAACTAGAAAACAGTGGATTTGGAGTTAGGAGTCTTTGGTGAAGATCCAGATCCTCCACGTAATGCTTCTTGGCAGGGCGCATGACACACTTGACTCTCAGCCCCTTTTTTGCATAAACTGGATCTAATACCCACCCCCTCCTCGGGTCATACCCCGCACACAGTCATTATGTTGTTGCTATTGGCAACTTGCAAATATTTTTGAGTTTTCAACCATGCTCTTGCATTACCTGTGATATAACTGGTTAATTATCACGATGAGACTCATTGGAAAGCTAAAAATAAAATCAGAGCTGTCAGTTCATGGTAAAGTGTACCATGTTCAAAGGTTGTCTCTGGAGCCAAATGGTGGTCCTGAGAGCAATTAGTTATAAAAGGCTCCAAGCATTTGAGAAACAGCAAGCTGAGCCATCCTGAATATGTGCTCTAAGTTCCAAAGCTGACATATGAATTATTAAGCTGCTGCAGCATGAAGACCAGCTCTGCTTGCAGAAGACCTCTGTGGTGCATTGCAGGGAAATACAAACAACAACGCCAAATCTAGTTACACAAGTCAGTTCTGAGTCCCATGTGCTCCTGTGTGGAGCAGCCCAAGGTACCCAGAGCATGGAGCTCAGCAACTGGCTAGAGGGATCCCAGGACAATTTTGCAGGAGAAAAAAATGATTAATCAGGAGAGAGGAGAAACCCTCTGTCTGCTTCATGTTGCTGCAAGAACCAGATTAAATGCAGAAGATTCCAAGTGAGAATCCTGTGAAAGCGAGTGGTCAAAATGTATTCTTTAAACTCACCGTTTTGAAAGGACATCGTGACTAAAAGGGGATTCTAGTCACTGACCTTGAATGAAACGTGATAGTGTCCACGGAACACTCCTGTGGCCTCAGTAGACTCTTGCTGCTTGGCACTATGATGCCATTATTATCTTGATCTTTCTTCCATCAGCTAGGATCACTCCATTTTCTAGTTGAAGAAACTGATTAAGTTAACCGCCCTGAGATTACAAACTGGCCACTTTCAGGGTTGTTCTTTATGCATAGTAACCCCTACCATCACTCAAGTATGCCAAGAAGGGAGATTTCATAAAATGCACTTTAAACTTAAGTGATTGAAAGAGCTCACGGTTGCCTAGCAACAGGGCTTTCAGAGGTAAGCAATGCCGACAGGCTGAAGAAAACCTCTAGAGAGCAGAGGAAACCTGGCATCTCCCCTTAGCTTGCCTGCTGCAGTAAGTGGGAAACCTATTTGAGCAATTGGCACAAGGACCTGCAAAGTGACCCCTGGGGACTGGATGATCACCAAGTTCCTTTTATTGTGGTATCTGTCAAAGATGAACCATCGAGTCACTAAAGTCTCAGTTCCTGTGTATAGATCCTGTTTTGCTTTCTTTGCTGTTATGTTGTTTTTATCATGGACCAGAATCTTTGGCTGTTTCTGATCAAATTCCATCTCTCATTCTATGTGATATAGCACCCTGCCACCACACGGTTCTTGTGCATAATTACTTGCAGCATGAGTGTTTCGAGAGTGAGCCAAAGTGCTCCAGGCTCATGGTTATGCTCAGGAAATAAGTATGAGTACGTCTCATAGACGTCTTCTGAGTCACTGAAGGTCTGTAAAGGATAAGAAAATGCACCTAATACCCTAAATATGGGGGACAGGTTTTCAAACCATGAGCCACCATAGAAGTCCCTTAGCTAAGAACCTTTTTATTTGAATGCCAGTGCTCTCTAGTAATCTTGGAGAACTTTATTTTATCATAAGGTTTAAATTATCATCAATCTTGGAAATTCTCATTGGTGTCCTATATCCTGAAAAGAGAGAGAGAGAGAGAGAGAGAGAGAGAGAGAGAGAGACAGAGAGAGAGACAGAGAGACAGAGAGACAGAGAGAGAGAGAGACAGAGAGAGAGAGAATTGACACTCAGGTTGACTTGCTTGAAATCACACAAGGCCAGCAGCAAAGGTAGAGTCCAGACTCATGCTTTCTGGTTATATAATCAACATTTCTGTGCAGGGTCTTAGATTCAAGCAGAAAATAGAAAGTTACATATCATTACAGACAGATAGTTCAGTACAAGCCACAGATACCATCAGGGGCAGAAAGGCACGGGCCAGAGACACAGCTCCACACTGCCACCTGCAGCCGGAGTTCATTCCGGAGACCCCCCACCCCACCCAGTGGAAGCCAGGGGCCACAGCTTTGCCACAGAGAGGAATTTCAGGAAGAGCCAGGATACAGCAACGCTGGAGTTTATCAAAAGGAGTCGTCTATCCTCGTAGAAGGGAACCAATAACAATATACGTAGTCAAAGAAAGGATGAGACCAATCAAAGTGTGCATATGGGCTTCTCAAAGAAGTGTAACCCTTGATTGTCTGGACAATAACCACTTACATGATTTGGGTGGTTGTGAGGTTTTATCTTCAAAGAGTTGCTAAGAAACCTAAATGACCTCATAGGCTGGTTTTTGAAGTGCACCAGACAGGATAATTGCAGCTGATGAACTAAAACCCCCAATCCTAAGAATAGCACAGGAAGTTAAGATTTTCACTGTAAACAAAAATTAATAGTCCTTTTCGTGAAATTTCTAGAAAATATCTGAGAAAGGAAGAATGTCATGCTCAAGGTCTTATTGCTCAGCCCACAAGCACTCATTGTACCTTAACATTCCTTAGAAGATATTTCTACATTAAATGAATATTGTCTCTGCATCAGCAACCTTCACAGCAAGTATTAATTGTGCTAGAATTTTTGACTCTTAGCGGGCAAGTTTGGAGGGAGGAGCCCCCTTTCTCTTCCCCCGTTCCTTCACTTTCCCCCCATCTTTCTATTCTGCCTCCACAGTGGTAAATGAAGCAATGAAGGAGAGAGAGGCGTGAGGAAAATAATTCATGAAAAAGGTAGCATTTTAATTGGAAATTGTAGAATAAGCACAATGAAGATGCTGAAGTTAAATATGCCTTTAGAAGAGGAAAGATTATAATTATATGAAACAAGGGTGTTGATAGTAAGATGATGCAGAGAGAATTGACAAAGCCAGCCAAGTATGGGACCAAGCATAGCGAAAGAAGGATGGTAGGTGGCAAAGGGGATACTTGGGATGCTATAAAAGGCAGGTCCAATGGCTTTGATGGTTCTTAGCAAGCCACTGAGTGATGTCAACAGTTTTAACAATGGAGTCGCATCATTGAATGTGGTGACTTAACCAAGTTGTATTTATATTGTGTATACAATGTAGTAGCTACAGAGACAGTTTATATACTACTGTCATTGTCCAGGAAAAGGCATGATGTGGCAAGGAGAATGAAGGCTGTTGGGGAAATGGACTCAAGATGTTAGAGGCAGAAAGCATAGAATTGTGGAATGGGACTGTCCAACATGAGCATCATGTGCAGGAGGCCAGGTGAAGTAGGGTGAAGATACCAGGGATGTAGCCATAGATTTTGACATCATCTATCCACAAGAGAATATTTCTTGAGTGGTAGATTAATGTTCAAGATAAATAATGTATATTCTTTATGAACCTGTAGCATCCAAATGAAGTAGCAGGGCTCTGAATTATAAGGGCTATGATTTTAATGATGTTTTAATTAGAATATAATATACATTCAGGAAAGTACACCGACCTCAGATCAGAACGTATCCTCTTAGAGAAGGATGACATTATAGCATAATATTATATTATGTTGTATTTCATGCACTACTCAATGATTTGAAATTTAAAACAACACTGCTATGACCTTCTTGTATCTATAGTGGCACAAATGTAGGTATTTACATCTGTAATAGCATTGAGAGCCTACACTCATGCATATAAATGTGTGCTTCTAAAGGGAAGGAGGTACAACAGCCTCTGGTGTGAAGTGTGATGAGTCACAGTGAACCACTTATAACTGCTCACGGAGGAGCTGAACAATCAGACACAGGTCAGGCTAGAATACAGACACAAAGTAGAAAGATAACGTCTGAGGCCATGAGCTAGAGTGTAGCTCAGAGGCAGAGTGCTCACCTAGCTTCTGAGACTGTAAACAAATATTAATGGAAGTATCTTTAACTAATATTAGTTAATTGTTGATCGGGGCTGTCACTTCCATATAAGGACACTTGATGGTTCAAAATCAATAGGGACTTCTGTAGTGTGGAGATGCCTTATTCAGTGAAATCCATGGTCCAGATGTTACATTTTGCTTAGAACAAAATATAAATCAATGCAGGTGGTAGAAAAAATAGGTCCAATCCTCAAGACATACGCCATTGTAGTTACATTGAAATTGATGAGAGTGCGCATATCTGGTCTTCCTTGATTTCAGCTTCAAGCCTCTATGCCATCAGGAAACTTCAGTAAACACAGACAAAAGCCTAAGAGTGTGGTCTAGGAATTCATGATCAAAACTAATGCCAGATTGCAGCTCAGCCTTCAATCTAATGACCTTGATTGACCACAGAACAAACTCAGGACTGGTTGAAGCAAGTTCAATCATTGACACCATCCAAGCATGCAAGTCAATTTCCTCGCTGTCTTTTTTGGTTCAATCTAAAATGGTTCAGCACTAAGCTGGGGAGTTGATTTTCCTTAAGGGTCTGGCTTCTGGTAGGTGGAACACACTCCAGTGGATCACTACACATCTGAGAGTATTTAGACAACACTAATAAAGGAGACAGGTTTAAAAATAACGAGGACATAAAGCTGGGTGGGTCCAGAATGGGAGGATGGATCTGGAGGGGTTGATTGATGTGAGAAGGCCCATTTTAACTGTGGATAGGATTATTCCACAGAGAGGTGGGTAAAATGAGCTGAGTACTAGCTTTCATGACTCTCTGCTTCCTGATTGCAGATGTGATGTGACCAGCTCTCCTAAGCACCCACTGCCATGACACTCCCATCATGCTGATTCTATACCTTCAACTTTGAGTTGAAGCCATCTCTTTAGCCCTTGAGTTCCTTTTGTCAGGATATTTTATCTCAGCAATAGCTCAAGTAACTAAGTTAATTTCACAGTTGCCAAAACATGCCTTTGTTCTCCAACTTCTGAGTAAACAATACCTTGTATTTTAAGGTGTAGCCTCCTGAAAATGCTTTGATTTGTTTGCTCTAGACATGACAGCATCTTGGGGTATCTGAGAATGTGATTTTTTTTCTCTTTGATTATGCATTTTTGACTTCAATGTCTCCTGCTTTGCACTAGACATTTTCAGGATTCATAGAAGCCTTTAACAAAATGTCACCAGAAAGAGAATAAAAATTGGGAAGTATGGAGTTAGAGTGATAATATTCACTAAACTGTTGTGCCAGGCTCTAGCATGACTGCTAAGAGATTGTCCAATGGCTAAAGGTGCTTGCTGCCAAGCCTCACAACCTGAGTTCAATCCCCAAGGTCCTACTTGTTAGAAGGAGAGAACTGACTCTTGCAAGATGTCCTCTGACCTCCACATACACATCATGGCACTCAGAGGCACATATACCCGTGCATGTGCTTCCACACGTATGTACATATGCTCAAAAATAAATAAATACCTTAATAAAAATAGTAATTGTCAACAATTTAGGACATGGGTCCTAGTATTACAATTTAATTCCGAGGAAACAGAAGCACGGACAACTTACCGAGCTTGATATTAAATATTTAAAGAGTGTAGCTGAAAGTCGCTGATGGACTTTCTCAGCCTGAGCTACCCACTGAGCAACCTCACTATGCTGCCTCCAATGACCTATAAATAATATAGATAATAAAAAATCCCAGTTTCTTCAATAAACCTCAACTTTGGCAACATCTATAAATTATATGTTCCTCTGCACTAGTTGTGATACAACTAAGTGGAAGTAAGTATCCAAGCATAAATATCCCAGACCAGAGCATGCTCACATACCCCTACCACCCAGCCGAGAGGAGCTGCACTGTTCTGCACACACATTATTGCTGCCACTTTCCCCAACTTGTTTCAGGGCCTTTGTTGCTACTCTGTGTCTCATTTTTATTCTGCTCACAGGCTAAAGAGATCCCACAACTTATCTGTTTCTGTAGCTGGAGGTGAATGAGAAGACTGACTCCCACATTCTAGA